AACCTATTGCAATAAAACGGCAATTTCATACTTTAACCCCTAATATTACAAAGTCAGTTTGTTATAAACATGCAAGAGTAGATAGATGTTGTTGTTAGTATATAAGTATTGCGCCCCGACTTTATTTGCGACTTTTTATAAATATGGTGGTTTCCACTCTTTGGATATGGCGGAAAGATAGCGCCGTGCCCTGTTCTTTGTTAAAAAATTGACAAAGTTACAAATACTTCTATTTCAACAGCACTACTACTGTACTTGAAATCAAAATAGTGCTTATTTTTTAAACGCATCTTTTCGTTTATTGCTATTGTTGTCACGTATGCCTTAGTAACCAACTGATAGGCGCCAGGCATATTTACTTTACTCTTCAAAAACATCTGCACTAGTCAGAGCTATATGAGCTTAGACTGTAGTTACGCGTGTATGTTTATGATAAATAAATATTAGACAATATAACATACGTTGCTCTGATCCCAAATTAACTAAATCACTGTTATGAAAATCGGAAACAACAACAATACTTCACGGTACCATAAACACCCAGGTCCGAGAAAATATAGAAAAGTTAATTTCTTTATTGACCCGACCGGGAATCGAACCCGGGACCACAGAGATAGCGACACCATGGAAACCGGTGTGCAAGCCACTCGACCCGGAAGGTCGTGAAAATGACGTAATGGATGTTACGTTCACACATTACGTCACCTTTTTTTTTTGCGTGGGGAAATCCTCCGAGGATACCTCTCCGCTGCGGGGGGACTTCTACCGGCTAAAACCCCACGGTGGCCTTCTCAGGTGCTCTAGTGGGAAGGATCCGGGATCGACTTTGCGCACCGGAATCCCTCCAGCACCTAGGAGGAGCTACGTCCTCCCCCTCCTCTCCTCGTCCTCCTCGCGGCTGCCTAACTTACTGGCGAATGGAACCTCCGATCGCCCGCAGCCGCGAAGGTACGCCGCCGCCGAGCGGGATCGGCCCTCTCCCGATCACGCTCGGCGACCTCCTTCTGAAGCATCACCGCTTCACAGAAGGAGACCACTGCCTCATAGGACTCTTGATCCGCCAACATAGCCGCTACTATGCCTGGCGGAGAGAGATCTCGCGCGATCCGGGCAACCAGGATGTTCCGCTCGGAGGCCCATGCGGGGCACTCCTCCAGCGTATGCTGGGCGGAATCCTGGTCCCTCCCACAGTGGTGGCACTGCGTCGTCGACTCGCGTCCGATCCGATTCAGATACTCACCGAAGCATTCGTGCCCGGTGAGTATCTGTGTCAGTCGGAACGTGGTGACGCACTTCCGCTGGCTCAACCAGACTTCGAGGTTGGGCAGGATCGCGCCGACGACGGCGCGCTGGCGCGAGATCCACGGCTGTTCCAGCCTCTCGCGCCACTTCTCGAGCGCCCGTCGGCGCTTCTGCCACCGCACTTCCGGCGGAGCAGCTTTCTCCACCTGGCGGAGGCGCGCGTAAATACGCACACATTACGTCACCTAGCCCAAGGGGAACAATTGTGGCATTTCATAGCGTCGATCTTATTATTTTTCAACGAACTTTTCTGCATTTAAGAGCGGTTACATACGGCGGCTTTTAACAGCGAAGTAAACGCGATGCAGTCGCTAATCGTCTACGTTTGCACACGCGCGAGTTAAGTCCAATGAACCTAAGGATGTATGCTTTGTCAATCTTAATTCTTCTAATGACTAGACTCTTTCCGAACTACTTAGTTAAATAGGAATTTAGTACAAGACAAGTTGTGGTACAAGGTGACAATTAATTAATATTATTCTGAGCTGTTACTTAGCTGCTTGTTAATAAAGTTTATTTTTAACACTTCTCGCCGTTTCCGTTACTTATCTGGAGCAGCCTGTGGTTTTCTATAGTTGAATACTGCGTCACGGGCACCGATATCATTATCATCCCGGGTCACCAGTCAACGTGCATTTCTACGCTTCAATAGAGAAGACCTACGCGGAACAAATAAATTTGATAATGCGGTCACGTCGGTCGAGACCCAGCTACATTCAACTAGCCGGAACACTAGACTTCAGAGATATTCCACCTGCCCAGAGAGCACATGGGACTAGCTGTGAGACTGTGATCAAATCTGTTCACTATCCTCTCAGTTCTCCTCTATAATCCTCTTTGATAGATATACGTGTGTTTTGTATTACTTCATATCGACTATTACGTTTTAATACACCAATAGGTATTTTGTGCTATTACGTATCTAATATACGAGTAGTACTATTGTGTGATTAAATTTCACTCTTATTATATCATATTAAATGTTTCTGTACTTTCCGTATTTATAATAAAAAGGATTAACCGAGGGCATTAACCGAGTTGTAGTTAAAATCATTCCTACATTCAAAGGTGATGCTGCACAGCTACCCTTATTTTTAAAGAAGTGTCAATATGTTTTAAAAAATTATATGGGAAATGAGGCTCAGAACCGATATCTTTTTCACGTAGTCACTAGTCGCTTAGCAGGGGAAGCCGCGAAATTAGTGTGGGAACGGGATCAAATTTATACATGGGAAGAGTTAAAAACACTCTTATGCCAACATTTCGGAGATCCGAGAACAGAGGAATGTGTGTAACTTATAAACATAAGTAGAAGTGGTAGAATTGTCAAAATGTTATTGGCAATAATTAGATTTTATTGTGGTGGCAACATATTATGATTCGCTCTCTTCCAATTTGGCTGTACTAGATGCTGGTGTCTCTTACTTATTAATTCTATAAAATACAGTTCAGTGCCCAATTTTATGCTTGCATTTTGATTTCTACATTGGGCAAATATGAATGATACTGTGACCGCCATAATTAACAGGTGTGAGTAATGTTGACAAATGAAATATGTCACAAAGCCTATCAAATTAAGCCTAATATAAAAGCCTATTCAATTAACTAATGCTCAAAACGTTCCTTTCCAGAAAGTTAATACAGATCTTTTATATATTGAGAGCAAATATTACTTAACAATCGTAGACGCACTTAGCAAACTTGCTCAAGCTATTTATATTCCAAATGCAAGTACCCCAGAAGCCGTTCGTGCATTGATAAAATATTTTAGTATGTACGGAATACCTAGAAAAATAAATTCATATTCAGGAGCAAAGTTTAACAATGAGTTAATTAAAGAACTTATGGCCATACACAAAATATCTTTTCACATAAGTACTCCAAACAATCCGAAATCATTGGGTGTAGTTGAGAAGTTTCACAGTACAATTATCGAAATGTACGGATTGGCTAG